CTCTTCAGCGTAAGTTTGCCACAGCGCGGTATTCCAAAACGACGGGGCGCCACCCACAGCAGAATGGCTTGAAGCCATGTGGTGTTCAACCGACGGTTGCTCCAACATGAATGCCACCATGGATGTTCCATCCGACGGGTTAGGGTGCACACACCTCCCGGCGGTGGAAAGTGCATGCAACCACAACATGCGAGCATACAAACCCGTATCACGATCAACGAGATCACGCTCGTCAGAGGTGAGAGTGCTCAGGCCAAACGGTTCAGTGGGCGAGCGGAGTGGATGTGGTCCATCAGCGCGGTGCCCTGACATGGACCACGTGCGGGTTGGTGGACCTCCAATGACCGCCGCAACTCGTCCCAACTTTGCAACCTTAGCAAGAAGCGTCCAAAGCGGATCATGGTAAAGATCTTGGCTCCTTGAGCGGCAAATGTCAAGCTCAACAACAACTGTATCCTGCGACTCCAATCGTTTGAAAGCCTTGTGCGCGCCAGGGCCCGCAAACAAGTGAACAACCCAATTGGATGCTCGATGAAGTGCCTTCCTCCTTCGCCGGTTGAGGTTTGGCATACCTTCTTCAAGAGCTTTCCACAAAGTCTTGGAGTCCACATCTTCCGATGGGAGTAGGCCTGACAATGCACGATCGGGCACATCCTGAAAGAATGGCGCCGTGGATACTGCCATGTGGCCCGCTGCTGGCGCTGACGAGCTAACATGCTCAACCAAATGATCCCACCATGTGCGCTGCATCGCGATTTTCGCTTGTCTGATGCGATCCTTCCCCTCATCCGTCCTTCGCCTGAGCTCCTCAACCTGTTGCATTTTGTGCTCCTCCAACCGTGATATCAACGTGAGGGCCTGGCTCTCAACCAATTTCGGGCAACCATTTTTGACCCTAAGCCTCAACGACTTACCATCGGGAGGATACAGCTTGCAACTACCGGCTGACCAAACCAGTTTATACCCAAGTTGCTCGATGATTGCGCCCATTGGGACTATTGGCTGCACTAGGCCATCCCTCCCGGGAGGCAGGAGCAAAGTACCTGAGGATGTGAGCCGCATTGTTGTGGTGGTATCGCCGGCTAAACTCACTTGTACTTCCGATGCGGCCTCCCACTCCTCCTCATCCATCGCCTGCCTCATGGCATGGGTGGCCCCAGAGTCCAAAAGCGCATATGCTATGGGTTTGGGGGGCTCAAGCAACCCCCCATTCTCGGCTCGAGAATGGGGGTTTGCCAAACCCTGATTTTTGGCATTTCCCAACCCCCGAGTTGGAGCCTCCTGATGGGGGGGTTGGGAGTCCCGGTTTGGGAGACCCGAAACCGGGAAACAGCTTGCGGGCACGACTGAGCGAATCGTCAGCCTCTTCACCGAAGGATTGGGTGCAGACGATGCGGGCGCAGCCGATGCCGGTGGCACTGGGGGCTGCTGCGACGCAGTACTCAAGCCTTCCGGCTGAGGTTGAGACGACTGGGCATGTGGCGTGGTGCCGCTGCACGGTGGATTGGCCTCCAACTGCCTCAAAGCCTGGACTGCCTGTTGCATGAAGGTTTCCATGTTGAGCACTGGCGTGGCTTGCACAACGGGTTGGCCCGAGGATGTGGAAGCTGCCTGTACGGACGGTTTTTGATCCGGTGCTTTGGGTTCCGCCTTACCGGCCTTGCAATCCTTAGCGCGATGCTCCTCGGAACCACAATTCAAGCACTTCTTAAACCGTTCCGCCTTAGACAACTCGTTCATGGAGTGTTGGCTTTTGCACTTGGACCCAAACCTACACCCCTTGCGCGAAAGGAAATACTTGCATGTGTTGGCATTCCCTCCACCTTTGCCTCCACTCCCCTTTCCCGGCTTATCCCCAGCAACACCAGCTGCCTTCAATGCCAGGTTACCTGATCCACCCTTTTTGGCAACATGAGCTCCAGCCAAAGTCTCAAACTCGGCCAACAAATGTTTGTGGTAGGATTTGACCGCCTCTTCCGAGGGTCGACCATGCAACTGCAGTGCACTTTTCACCATCTCGGTTCGCCATGAAACCTCCGGCTCCTTAGAGATGACGGGCTTTGTCATGGAGGTTAGGCCTCCCACCAACACCATTGGGTCCGGCAAACTCATACCAAAGTCTATGCACCTTTGATACCACCGTCCCCACGCCCTCAATGCTGACACACCTGAGGCTGCATCCTGCACCACTTGGGGATTCTGCAAGTTGCTCAACACCAGGTTGCGTTCCCCTATTCCCCCGGGCTGGTAGGTCGTGTACAATCTAAACAAGATTTGCCATGCAGCTTGATTCGCCTTACGGGCAATGATATCAGATTTCACTGTGGGGTCCAGGGCATCCAAAAGCATCGCGCATGCACGTGCATTCACTCTCCCCCACTTGCCTTCTGTAAGCTCTGGCCTCTCGTCAGGCTCAAGCGTCAAGCGCTCGATGGGGGATGCGACGACCCACTTATCGTACGCATCTTTGCTTACCTGAACTACCCCTGACCACCAAAGTTGAGAAGAATCCGAAAAGTCACTCATCAAGCCCGCAATGAGCTGCAACCAATCCTGAAAGTCCAACGAGCCTCCAGCTGGATCGGGTGGGGCTAGTCTGGGAAAGGTTGTAATGCCCGTTTTCACCGTTTCCGGGACATCCTCCTTCCTGCTAGTGCTAAGGTGCTGGGCTTGCAAAGTTTGCAGTTGCTGCACTCCCAACAATACGGCATCAAGCACGGTGTTACCTGATGTGGGAGGGCCTTGGGTTCCCCCCGGCGACACACTGGCTGCTCCTACTGGCGCCGTGCTGGCCTGAGCAGCTGAAGCCTGGGGAATTGGGGCACTAGCGGCAGCAACTGACTGGAAACCAGAGCCCGAAGCCCTGATCTGGCCCAAACCCGGGTTTTCGGCTCGAGAATGGGGTTCTGGGCCAGAAGAGGTGGTATCCCCTTGCACACCGACTGTTGCACTACTGGGCTGCCCAACCCTTCCGGGTGGCGTCGCATTGCCAGGTAACCTTTGGGAACCTTGCAACCCCGACCAAAAGTTAGACCATAACCCTGAAGTTGCTGCCGCTGCTGTTTGCGCGGGCGCTCTCAAAGCCTCAACCGCCTGGGCTGCGGCATCATGGACCTGATACGCGATCGGAGTGTGCAGCTGTGCATCCTGAAGGGGCGGCCTGGGAACCTCATCACGGGTTGTTGGAACTACGGGGGCACTACCTGCCACTACGGTTTCTCTCCTTACTTGCTCCCTGAGGGCTCGCTCTCTTTGTGCAGCCTCCTCCAGTTGCCTCCGCATCCTCTGTATTTCTAGGTCCTGAGCCTGCGCTCGCTGATCAAACCCCGCTAACTGCCTTGCAACCTCAGCTTGAATGGCTTCTTGAGGCAAAGACGATGAATCTGTTCTTGATTGGGGCCTCTCGGGCAACCCGCGTACAAAAAAGGAGCCCTCTGTTCCAAAGCTTGCATTCGCTGCAACATGTCCGCGCTCAACAAAGGGCCATCCCTTCCGGGAGGCGGTGCAAAGGATGTTGGCGTACCATGCGCTCCCAACTGTGGTGGCGAGCTCGTATGAGAACCCAAACTCCCCTCTCCCAAGGCCCTGGGCCCTGAAGCACCGCTCGGACTATCACGGGTATGTGATGCTGTTGTTCGTGGTGGTGTGGCGTGTGTGCCTTGCAACACTGCGGGTACCTGCACCACCTCAGTGCGCGCAACACGGAAAAAATCCCCAACTCGCGTCATAAGCTGGAGCCCTGTACTAGGGAAGCCCTCAACCATCTCAGCTATGGTTGGCAATCCCTGTTGCGATCGTGGGGTCACAAACCCCTCCGTGGAAGCACCAGCGACTACTCTACCCCCTGGCTCTGCGTCACCACTCGCGGTACCTAACATGCCAGTGCTGGCCTCTAGCCCTGGGCTCCCGCCCGGCGCGACATTGCCGGGTATCGGCACAACCATCTGTACCTCATCACCGCCTTCAGTGGCGGTCGACACTTACCTGTGGCATTCCCCCTGAGTCTGCGCAAACCCCAGTCTGGTCTATGCCTCCAAGTGCCCCTCCCGTAGCCATAGGTTCAAAGCCCATTCCACCTGTTTGGCCATGTACAAGTGCCGGCGTTGAACCTGGTACATTTGGCATACCATCCCTCCCGGGAGGTGGGGATGGCTGCTGTGCTGTGGTGCCATAGCCCTGCCCAAGCGTTGGGCTCATAACCTGCTGGTGTGAACCAGCAGGCTGGGAATAAGATACAAGTGGAGTGATCAATTCCCCTGCACCAGAACTCCCAGACATGGCTCACACAGAGGCGGAGATTTTACACGCAAGCAAAAGACTGAAGTTTGTGCTACGTTGGGCGTGGCACCTACAACTATGGTACATGTGTTTTGTTTAAAAGCGTGCTCAAGGCTCAACCTGTGCATAGCCTAAAGAGCGACGGAAAAATGAACATGTACAACTGGCATGCGGCATGAGCTGCAAAGGTGGCATGCACTTCAGCAGCGGCCTTAATAATTAGAATAAGGCTTTGGGGCACATCATACTATATTTATAATAAGGAAACCCCACAATAGTATAGGTAATTATTAAAGCCCTATATTATACTCAAGAACATGGCGAACCGCTGAGGATGCAGGATATAGGCTTCCAGGCTTATAGGGCTCAAGCATAGTAAACCTTTACGGCACACAAACTGGCCAGTGCCGTGCAGGTACGGCGTACTACTACAACAGTGTCTTGCAACAAATCACAGTGGGGCGTTGCTGTTTATTACCAGCTGATTGGTTGATGAGAACATACCACTATGGGCTATTAGACCCTAAAGATCCCTATTAGGACCCTATTAAGGGTAGATTAAGGTACCCTTAAGGCCTAATAGCCCATAGTGGTACATGTCATCTCCAACAGACCGAAACGAGAAACCACCCAGAAAGGCTAAGACTTCCCTCAACACGACTTTAGCTTGAACCTCTTTAGGAGCAAAGAGAGCCCGGTTAAGAGCCCCCCCCCTGCTGAGCCTGGGCGATTGTAAATGTCACGACATCCAGCAGAAATAGAGTCTCGAAAATGTCCTGGGAAGAAACGACGTAGGGAGAGTTACATGCATGAGTTGGGGATGGCTTGAAACGCTCGGGTAGCTGAATTCCTTTGCGGAGACCTTAGATTCTCGTCTTCATCAGACCCTTGAGAAGGTTCCAAAACAACGCGAACCGGCAGCTGAGGTCCCGTCGGCATTGTGGCAGGGAGAGGGGCGACCGGTGAGAGGTTCGTGGAGCATCAAGCAGGTCATTGCCCAGTGGATGGGTACGGAGCACTCTTCGCCTGCACGGAGAGACCAAGAAGGGCTTTCCGCCTAAGGCTTAGGATGAACGCTGAGTTATGGCTCGTATAATATGTGAATATCCATCCCCGGCAAACTGTCAGAAAGCCGCAGCCGTAGTTCCTTTAGGCTTCTACAACTACGACATTGCTGCTACTGCTGCTGCTGCTGCTGCTGCTGCTGCTGCTGCTGCTGCTGTTACTGCTGCTGCCTCAGCTAAAGGGAATGCTCCTCATGCTCCTCCCACTGTTTCGGCGACTGCCGCTGCCGCTGGTCCTGCTCCACTTGCTGCTGCTGCCGACTAGGCGACTACAGTTGCCACCGCTACCACCAATACCACTGCTGCGACGATTAGGTTGCTGTGATTTGGGAGTTTCCGAAAATAGGGGACCCTCATATAGTACCCTAAATAGTAGGATCCTTATTACATGGATCCCAAATTAGGTACCCCCAAATTATCGGAAACTGCCATTTCGTGGTTCATGCTTTAGGTTCGGAGTTCTCGGGTCCAGAGCAGTTGTTTTGCCAGCCGCACAGCTTACGTTAACCGTCTGCGTAGTTGGTTGCGTAGTTGGATGGAGCATCTACCAAAAAAAACGCTAGCACAAACTACACAATGTCACAAGCTAGGATGGCCAGTAACCTAGGAATAAAAAGGGCTCCCTTTTTGGTATTAGGTAACTTTATAAGGAACCTAGGACTACAAAAAGGGAATCAGGAAACTACTGGGCATCCTAGCAAGGGAACCCTAAACCCTAAACCAAAACCCTAAACCCTAAACCCTAAACCCTGAACCTCATTCAGATCCAAGTCGCGTCTCTCGGAGAACCAAGTGTGCAGAGCACTGCTCTTGATGGTGTTATTCATCCTTAGTTGCTGAGTTTAAAAGGCCCAAAACGCGTACACTTTCAGTTTTATAGTGAGTAGTGTTATCCCAAAAAGTGTAAAGTGTATCCACTCAGCTACTAAGCATCGGAATGCATCTGACGAAGCCGAGGAGGTAAACCGCCGTCCATGCACAGAGAAGAGGACCTTGGCATGCCATCGACAGACAAGAAAAGAACGAACAAGTCGACAGCCACAACCTAACATTATATATATATATATATATACATACATACATACACACATGTACAATCTATTATCTCTAGACACATTATATATCTATACATATTTATATATGTATAGAGTCGCATACCTATGTGCTTATTACGTACATAGTTATGTATATAATGCCACCTGTGAGGTGCTGCAGGGTCAGTGCTTGGGGTTCTGGTCCGCTCAATTCAAGACAGGTCGTGGCAAACATCGCATTGTCATAGAATCTGATTCAGACGCAAAGTTATTACGACAGGAACAGACGGATGGAGCGGTGATCCTTTGTATCACGTGCATGGAGGGAAGCAAGGAGCCAACCCCACCCCGAAACCCGAGCCCGAGAAGACACAACACTTTCCGGTAAACCTTATCCCACACCTTTTAACCTTAACCCCAATCCCAACAAACCGTCACTGAACACTTATGAAACCCTATCAAACCGTTATCAGACTCGAATTTTGTTAACTAGAAAGCAACACTTTCTTGGCCAAAACCATTCAACCCCCAAGGGGGAAAAAAAAAAAAAACATCTAGCGCTCCGGGAGCAGAAGCCCTTCTAGGCTTTTGGGGTACTTCCTTTATAGGCTTCCCTATTGTGGTTTCCTCATAGAAGTCCTTGAAAAGTTAGGGTATTCGGGGTCCAGGCACGGGTTTACTGTAGAAGCCTGTGAAAACCCTCCTACTGTGGATGGACAAAATCCTGCATTACCCATTATAAGGAATATACCATAGTTCCCATAGTTTAGGGTCCTGAAGGTCATGCAGGATTTTGCCCATCAACCGTATTACAGGCCTCGAACGGCGGGATGAAGGTAGTTGGGAACCCTTTTGATTCTAGAACCAGGAACCGACCCGCAGCCACCGCCGCCAGGCGTGGCGAATTGCTTCCGCCAGTTTGGAGCCCATGGGCCTTCGGCTGTGCTTGGAGGTTCATGGGTGGTTATAAGCGGGGCTATAAGCCCCCTAATATGGGTTACAATTATGGTTACCCTACCTATAACTCCACTTATAACTACCCATGAACCTCCAAGTAGAGTCCCCATACAGTGGAAGCCCAAAAGTTGAAAACCCAATAGCCTCAATCCTTACGAGTCATGCATAGGGAATCCCAGCACTATTCGGCCTTAATCCGGTCTCCAACTTTATGGGGTTCACTATAAAGGGGATCCACAACGGCGGTTCATTGAAAGGGTAATAGACTGGCCAGGCTTTGCTGGTGTAGGGCTTGGGGTTTGGGGTTTAGGGTTTAAGGCTTTCTGGTGTGGGGACCCTCCAAAATCCTTCAATTAAGGAATATATACATTAAATAGGATAGGATCTCTATTTAATATGATTTTTGAAATATTAAGGATTTTTGGAAAATTTGGATGTAGAGTCTGGGCTTCAGGGGCCAGGGAAGCTAAAAGGGGCTGCTCATGAGCTTGAACCCAAACTTTGTAGAATATTTCATCAGGGGGCTAGGGACGGTTTAGGGTTTAGGGAATATTTCATCAGGGGGCTCGGGCTTGGGGTTGGGGCTCTTTTTTCCTGTTTCTTCTCTCCATCGGGATTAGGGCTCAGCCTTGTTTCTCTTAGGGTTCCGCGGAGTCTGGCAGGGTTGGAACGCCGCAGTGACTGAGCCTGGAGTATGGAGGTCTCCCTGCCTTGTAGGGTCCCCATCAATGTCATACTAGGGTTGATGATACAAATCCTGCACTACCCATAGTATGGAATATACCAGAATTCCTACAGTCTAGCATCATTAAGGTAATGCAGGATTTATATCATCAACCGCAGGGTTTATAAAACAACGTAAGGAGAGTTCAATAATTTAAAGTGAGGGTTTACAAATGGGGTAACGTACTGGAAAGATCCGGGAACTTTATGAAGAGGCTTCTCATAGCGCGTACTGATATTTCGGGTCATCTTGCATGGAACTCTACTTATCACCTAATTACTTGCCAATTCTCATGCCTCTTCAAACATACCATCTGCTAAGAATGCAGCGCAAGCTCTCCATGCGGTAAATAAGGCTTCAAACGGGTTGATATGATATCGGGTTTAGCAAAGGCCCCTTCATGAGAGAGATGCCGTAGACTTTGTAGAGATTCTGAGAATGCTCTATGTACGGGATAGTCATGAATTCGTAAGCATGGTGAGGTGGTCTCTGGATGTTAGCCAAAGATCTGGCAAAGGTCGTGGTGTCGCATTCGGATTTCGCGTCTTGTGGGCAGAGTGTGGGGTATTGGGGTAGTATCGAGCTGTCAGCATAGGTCATACCCTACCCCGTTTTGGAGAACCTACTTTCCACATATCGCAGATCCTAGTCTTAAAACTAGGTACCCCGAAAAGAGGGTATAGGGTATCCCGAAGGGTCCAAGTAGTCCTTATTTAAAGCTTTTTGTGCCCAAAAATCCCCCCAAGTTCTAAAGTAAGGAGTACTTGGACCTTTAGGGTATGACCCTATCAGGTAGAGCTTCGGTTTAGACGCTCCTGTTCGGGTCAGGGCCCGCAACATGCACAAGTAGGCAGAGCCCCTCTATTGCTTTGCCCATAGCGACCCTTAGGGGGGTAGGGGGAGGTGGGGAAGGGGGCCTTCCTACCTGTAGTAAGGACCTAATATACCCCACCAAGGGCCACTAGGATTTGCCGACTTGCAGTAGGGGTTCCGGTGCCGAAAAGCTAGGACTCCTTTGCCTTTTCCTCATCCTTCTAGCTGAAACCTTTGCCCTAATCCCGAAGCCCCTGACCTAAGCCTAATCACCTAATCCTGCGCCCAGAAACTGCCCTGTAAACCCGAAACCCTACATGGGAGTTTGCGAAAATTAGGGGCTCCTTACTTTAGGGTCCTTATAATGGGATCCTGCTGTTTAGAGTACTATATTAGGATCCCCTATTTTTGGAAACTACTACAGTGACACCTCGGGGTTGGAAGATCCCCCTGGCTTCTCGGCCGATCTCGCAGATGGACGGAGAGAAGGAGGAACGCTGCATTCACCTGGCCCAGCTGAGCAGCAGGGACTCTAATGACGTATCTGGGAGTATAATGTAAGGGCCTTAACAATTACAATAGGGTTGGGGGGGGGTATACTATATTATAATCATAATAAAGAACCCTGAAGATAGTATAGGTAATTCTTAAGGGCCCTATATTAGGGTGTGGGGATTTAGGGTTTGCAAAGTCCCCAAGCCTAAACCCCTTAACCCCTACAGGTTCCCGGAGGGCTCAACTTACCCGGCAAACCGCAGGGCCTTCATCGCCACGTCCGTGGAGTGGCCAAGCCAGTATGCATCACTAGGCCTCTCAACGGGTAGCCAGCTCCCATGAGAGAAAGTGTGCATCCAAATCACCTGGGTGAGGGCTGTCGGGAATTTTGATCGTGAGTTCTATGATGATGGTTCCTCATAAATTGTTTTGATGGCTCCTCATATCATTGTCAGCCTGCGTGCTCGTATGGACATTCGAACTGCTGCCGTTTAGGATCCTTTGTACAGGGGTGCATACTATTTTGAGGGACCTTATAGGAACCCTAACTTAAAGAAGTACCCGCGTCGCCCGGGTGTAAGATAAGGTGGGCACGGTGGCGGTCAGCGAAATCCGCAGCACATCCGCTCGCAGTGACCCCCTGCATCGATCTCACTTAGGATGCTGTACTTGAGGTTTAGGAGACACTGACATACTATTCTGGCAGTCGTTGCACCCTGGTATTCTCATCACAACCGTGACGTCTGTCATCATCACTTCCTGACAACACCATCGCCAGCAAAAGCATCATCGTGAAGATCCGCATCACCCTCACCTTCCCGGGATTTAGGTTCTGCCCGTCCTGGGCTTGCCAACCGCCGCCAACACACTGCTCAAAGGCATCCTTGTCGAATAGAACCACATCGCGGCTGAGATTTGGGCCGCAACCCAGGCCACGACCACCGGGTCGGCACGGAGATAAGGATGGTACTCTTGCAGCGCAAACCTGAGACTGAGACGGGACGAAAAAAGGGTTTAGGGACTCACTCACACACTACTGTTGATGGACAAAATCCTGCATGACCTTAAGGACCCTAAACTATGGGAATTATGGTACATTCCCTATATTGGGTCATGCAGGATATTGTCCATCCACAGTAGTGTCTATTTTTCTAGAGTCCCGAAACTCCCAAGCAGGTTTTACCACAATGTAAAGCCCCATTTCCAGACAGGCCATCAAAGAATCATGGAACATGACGCAAAGGATAGCAAGCCTAAACCCCGACCCGGAAGCCAAACCTTGAACCCTACACCCCAAAACCATGAGCTCTAAACCCAAACTCCAGACCTGAAATCCGAAAGTAGCTGCTCGCCGGCATGAGCGCTGAAGTCTAGCAAGGTAAACCGCAAACCCCTAAACCCTAAACCCCTAAACCCTGAACCAATGCCGAGGTTCTGCCAGGAGTGGCTGCAGAAGGCCTGCTGCGAGCCCTGACATGAGCGCTTTGACACCCACATCCTCGGCAGCTCCCTCAATACCCAGATTCTCCATAGTAGGTCCTTTTTGGGATTACCTTATAGATTTCTATATACGAACCCCAAAAAGGGAACTACTGTGGAGCCTTAGGGTCAGCCACAGAAATAGAAAGTTAAACTTTCCAATTCCTACGAAACTATAAGAGCCCAACAGGTTTGAAGGTTGGGTATTGGGGATCTAAGTCGGCAGCACGGGTAAAGGGCGTCAGGGCTTAGATTTCTGCGCCGTCGGTCTGAGCAATGCGGAGGTCTGAAATGACTGCCCATAATGTCTCCTGATGGTCTCTATCTATAACCTTAAAATGTACTGCCTGTTCCAATCAACTATGCTGGGGTTACTATGTCTGCAGTCCTGTCATGGTGTTTAGCGGTGTCGTGGGTAGCAGCATCTTGTTCTAGCTGTACGCTTAAACTCGACATGTTGCTACATGACCGTATTAGTCCTGCTCTGGCGTGACAAGGGTTTCCAAAAATTAGGGGTACCTTATTTGGGGGGGTCCTTAAAGTAAGGACACTACTATTTAGGGTACTATATTAGGGTAACCTGTTTTCGGAAACTCCCACAAGAGTGCTGCACCACTGCAGTGAGGTGTATACTTACTGTGCTTCCGGGAGATGAAGGCTTGAAGGGAAGCAACATCTAGCTGCTCTCTACTGCAACTCTATGCTGCCACTGTGCCTTCATGGTGTTCATTACCGTTCGTACTCTGACACTACAGTGAAGTGGCGCCCGTCTGCATCATTGCTGAACTGCTCCACAACTATGTCGCGATGCTGCTGGAGAGCTTTACCACTGTTCTATCTACTACGTCCGTACGCAGCCGGATTGCCAGCTTTCACATGATATGCACATGTTGCTTACTTTGTTGTTACTTTCGATGTAGCAATTGTGAATGCTGCTGGAGTTCATGGAATACATATTGATGGTGCCAGCTTGTTTGCTATTGCAGCTGGCAGACTACGTCCGTGCCGGTACGACTCTGGTTTTGATCGTGTGCCCCAAATGGCGATTCTGATGGCACTGTCTGTGGCGATGCTGGAGGCAGTGGAGGACCGCGATGCTGAGGGGCCTTGGCGATGCCGACGGTGATGCTGACAGTCATGGACACGGACTGCCGTGGTGATAATTTTGATTCGATGCCGATGATGAAAACGCAAAGATCAAGATGACGACGACGAGGAAATAGGACAAGGAGGAGCCTCCCTAGGCCCCTGAGACTAAACCAACTGCCGCAGAGACTCGGCATGATGCCGTGGCTTGGAAAAAGCTCGTGGTCCACTGCCAGCGGTGCTGGCATCCAGACGTGCGTCTCCTTGTTTGGGGTTGCGGGTTAAAGGCTTTTCGGGTTGTGGGCTTCGGGCTTTTAGGGTTTAGGGTTTGGGGTAGCCGGTAGCCGTCCAAAAGGGTCGATGTTCCCCCTTGCTTCCCTGTCAAGTTTAAGTACGAAGCCCCAACGCTTCTTGAGACCTAAACCCTAAACCGCAATCGGAACCCGAAACCCTAAACCCTCAAACAAAAACTAGCTTCGTTCACTGGCGCGAGCGGTTGCGGTTCCAGGAGCCACCAGGGTGCCACCAGTGGCACGAGGTGCAAAGCCGCCGTGCGCAAGTCGCAGGCCGATGGCAGGCAAAGCCCACCAACAACCTGCAGAACAGTATAGTCTACTATAGTATATAGCTATAGTACAATATGGTATAGTATCGTATCGTATAGTCTACTATAGTAGAGTATGGTATAGTATAGTACTATATAGTATCGTATGGCACAGAACAGTGCGGTATAGTATGATATATAGCATAGTCTTGTATAGCTTAGTACAGTATAGTATAGATTAATCTCGAAGGCGGCTTGGGGTTTAGGGTATCCACCTTGCGAGCATGGAGCTTGGGTTTGGGGTTAAGGGTGCAGGGTCTAGGTCTAGAGCTTGAGGTTTTGGTCCGAGGATTAGGTTTGGGAAGCTGGGGCTAAGAGTTTAGGGTTTCAGGTCTGAGGTTTAGGGTGTGAAGTTCAGGCCTTCTGGATTCAAGGATACTATGTACGGTTGGAGGTTCAGGACTTATGAAACAGTAAGTTTGTTATCGACTGCAGCCAACGACACCCGGTGGTCGTGCACCCCTGTGGGACCAAAGCGGGCCACATACTCCTCCCAACCGGCAGAATGCCTGCAAGCTTCAGGTTTTCGGCTCTGGGTGTCATGGCTTCGGATCAGCGGGAGCTTGGCTTTGAGGCTTGGCAATCCAGGGGCTTGGGCAACTTGGTACGTCCTGGGGTCGACGAGGCCCTCGAAACCATTTCGATTACTATCGTTCTTGCTGCTGCTGATGCTGCTGCCGCTCCTCCTCCTACGACCACAACTCCCACTCCTACTTGCAATCTAATCCTTGACCTGCTCGGCACCAGGAACCATGGCAGGCCAGAAGCCACATAGTCCATCCTCAGTGTTTCTTCAAGGTCTAGAAGCTGGGTGCTGAGCCCATACAGCAACAGTCTATAATAGGGCAACTATTAAGGGCCTAATATATCTAGACTATCAAGAGTATTCAATTCTTTTCGGGGGGAATATCCAATCCACAAGTACCTTTGCTATCAAATGAAGAAGTTGCAAGAACAGTTACCGTGTTGCTCACCGTGCAGCAGGTCAGCTTTCGAGTGGGATTTGGGATTAATTAGATATATCCCTAAACCCTAAACCCTGAACCATAAACCCTAATACCCTAAACCCAACCGGGATGGGGTCTCTGGGGTTTAGGAGGTAGGGCAGCGACCCAGGATGCCTGGCTCTGAGCTTCGAGTCAGGCTCAGAAATCCAGTGCCAAGTGCCCATCTGAGGAAACAGCTCCCTATGGGGTTTAGGGTTTAGGGGTTTAGTCTTAGGGGTAGGGTTCTAGAGCAGTATGCATCCTGAATCCTAAACACGCTTTAAACCTTCAGCCCAAGATCTTATAAATCCTGGACGCAACCGGTGCCCTGCACCCTAAACCTGTCGCCCAGGATTGATTGTAGTCTCCCTCTGGCCAAGCCTTAACCCGACAAGCCGGCCCTAGAATCCCAGTTTAGGGTTTAGGGTTAGCCCTGGACTATGACACTGAGCTACTCTAACCTCTTGGGAAGACGATGCCTAACTTGGGTATATACTGCTCCCACCATGTAACATTCCATATTATGGATCAGGGGCTATACATGAATATACCCAATCTATGATCCAACTGTTACAGAGTGTGGGGGGCGGTACCCCATAAACCCTGAACCCTAAACCCTAAATCCTCAATCCGTAAACCCTAAACCCTAAGTCCATAAACCCTGAAACCGAACACTTCGACCCCAAAACCCTCAATCCCAAACCTCCGGCCTAAAGCCCTGGATCCCCAAAAGTCTGAGCCCTGGACCTTAGCCCCGTAAAGCTCTCCAGCCGGAAATCTCAAGCATTTGCTGATCATGATCTAACAGTCGTAACGGTAGCAACAGTGGTAGCAGTGGTAGTAGTCGTCATCATCGTCGCCATCGTCGCAGCAGCAGTAGTAGCAGCTTAGCAGTCACAGGAGCAGGAGCAGCACTGATCTCATTGCTTCCATTCTGAAATACAGATTAAGCCCCATACAGTAGAAGCCAGAAAGTTGGAACATCATTGTCCTCATGCCCTTAAGGTAAAGTATAAGGGATCCTAGCACTAATCCTCCTAAAGCCATGTTCCAACTTTCTGGCTTCTACTGTAGTAGTTCCTTTTTAAAATTACCTTATAGGATTCAATGGAGCCTATGGGTAACCACCTGGGTAGTTGTCAAAATTCGGGTCCCTTTTTGGGTACCCTAAATATGAGGTGCCGTATAATAAGGACCCCAAAAGGGACCCTGATATTGACAACTGCATTACCTTAAGGACCCTAGACTATGGAAATTATGCTATATTCCTTATTATGGGTAAGGCAGGACTTATATCATCAACCGTAGTATGAGTTGGTAAAGTTCAACTTGCTGCAATGACTCCGAAGGCGCAGTTGGCCGAGGGTGGCGACGTAGAAATACCGGCCGCTGCACGCCGCCGCGCTGTCCGAAAGATTCAGCGGCCTGCAGGGTCTCCTAAAGGGTCCATGTATCACTGCTTAAAGGATCATGGGGCTTAGTAACTAGGGTTATAATTGGGGTAACTATACTTGTAACTACTTATAACCCCAATTAAGGTACTTATAACCTTACTTACTAAGTCCCACGATCCTCCAAGTATGGTATATACTTAGACCCCCAAAATACTAGGGTATATACCATAATGATACTTGGACCCCTTGGGGTCTGGTTTACGATTTTAAAAAACTAGGATGCCCGGTAACCTAGGAGAAAAGAGGGCTCCCTTTTTGGTACCTTTACAAGGAGCCGAGGACTACAAAGAGGGAATAAGGGTACTACTGGGCATCCTAGCAAAGGGTTGTGGGTAGAAGTGTTGGGACTTTTTTCGGGCTTTGGGTATAGGGGCTTCGTTTAGGGTTTGGGATCACGATTGGGTTTAGGGCATAGGGTTTACGACCTTGGGCTTGGGTTTACGATTTTTGGATTGGGGTTAAGGGTGTAGAGTTTTGGGTGTTGGGAATAGGGTTTAGAGTTTCCGGTTGAGGGCCAGGGCTTGATCTTTCTCGGGCTTTGAGCCTTGCAACTTGAAGCATTGAACGCTGAAGCCCCCACAACGCCCTCATGCCTCGCCCCAAAACCTTGAATCCAACACCGCAAAAAACCAAATCCCTCAACCCTGAGCACCAAACACGACTTCAGAGTCCAAATACAGAAAACCCGGACAAAACCCGGACACACGCATACACATATATATATATATATATATATATGAGCCCGATACCTTTAGGGTCTATTTAACTAGTCTGCCATATATACAATATAAGATCCCTATCTAAATCATATGTTCCTACATATTATATTACAAGACTTACGCTCTGAAAAGTTTAGCATTACTTAGGTCTATAATATTTTTATCATTATTGCTGACACCATTGCCACGTTGATACCTGATTAATATACAGTGTCACCTATACAGACAACTGAATTTTAATAATTAATACCTATAACAATATCATTACGAATCCAATGGAACACAAAGCAATAACACTCCAACCAAAATAATTATAGTAAGTATTGCTTACATCCCTGTCGCTGCGAATCCTACCTAGTGCAAGTTAGCATCACTACAATCATATATTAGGCATTGCATATATAGTGTCAGTACTAATGCAGTCGAATAGAAATTACAAACAGTGTAACCAAAATTAATTCTATTAAGGATTGTCTACGCCACTGCGACTACGAATCCTATTTAGCGTAAGTTACCTCCTCTACGTGCAAACTATGATGCTGTCGCAACACTTACTACAACTCGTTGCCTGTTATATTCTGTTGTTACATATGCTACATATATCTACTGAGGCAAGCCAGGTCTGAACAAACTAGTTCCTTGTCAATAGGGTTTCAATATGAGGAGTGCATGTAATGTATTGGTTCGCCCTGTCCAGAAGTGAAGAGAAACATTATAGCCCCTGCAATGTGCCAGTTTCTTCTGTCCGTAAGAAGGGCTTTCCGATGTATCAGCTTCATATCAAGAGGGCTTCAGTAGGATGAGTGGGCGTGACCGGTCAAAGGCTTGTAATGTGTTCGTTTGTTCTATCTGGGGGCTTTCGAATGTATAAGTTCCTCGCCAAAAGAGTTTCGATAGGCGGGAGTGGAGTGACACATTAGAGAGTCTATATTGTGTCAGTTTGTTCTGCCCAGGGGCCTTCCAATATACACGGTCGCTTCAGTGTATAAGTTCCTTGTCAATAGGTTTCCATGGGGAATGGAGTAACACATTAGAGGGTCTGTAATGTGTCAGGTCGCTGTGTCCAGGAGCCTTCCAAAGTAGGATTTTCCTTGTCAATATACTTTCAATAGAAGGGATGAAGTGACACATTAGAGGGCTTGCAATGTGTTAATTCGTTATGCCCAAGTCAATAGAGCTTGAACAGGGGAAGTGAAGTAACACTTTACAGGGCATGTAATGTGCCAATCTGTTATGTCCTGGACTTTCCAGTGTATAAGTTCCTTGTCAGTAGAGGGTCAATCGGAGTGGGTGGAGTGACACATTAGGGTGCCTGTAATATGTCAATTTGATATGCCCAGGTACAGGGGCCTGACAGTGTATAAGTTCCTTGTTAGTAGGGTTTCAGTAGGAGAAATGGAGTGACACATTAGAGGGCATCAATTTGCAGTCCAGACCCAGGAAGTGAAGATACACATTCTAGTGGGTTTAATGTGCCAGTTTGTTATGTCCATAAAAAGTGCTTTCCGATGTATCAATTTCTTATCAGTAGGGTTTCAATAGGATAGGTGGAGCGACACATTATAGGGCCTGCAGTGTGTCAGTTTATTATGTCCAGGGGTTTTCTAGTGGAAAAGTTCCATTGCAATAGAGGTTCCATAGGAAGGAGTGGAGTGACACATTAGAGGGCCTGTAATGCGTCAATTTATACTACCCAGAGACCTTCCAATATACAGATGCCCTACAGTGTATAAGTTCCTTGCCTTTAGGGTTTCAATAGGAATAATGACACATTAGAAGGCCTGTAATGTGTCAGTTTGTTTTCCCATGTGCCTTCCAATGTATCTCTATACATATCAGATCTGATGTGATCACAGCATTAGCCAAGAAGGATATCACGTAGTTAATAGTCTTCACGATCTTAACAAAGGCGCAATTATCCGTATCGAAGGTATACAAAAAAAAAAAAAATCCCTATAGATCCCTTCACAGATCCCTTGTATGGAGCCCTCATAGACAGCCTTTATAGATTCGTATAGAAACTTTATAGATCCCCTATATAGAGAACTTATAGAAACCCCGTATAGATCAACAAATGGAGTTCTTTGTAGAAAACTTTACAAGATCCCTTACATGGAGCTTTCATAGACAACTGCTATATATTCCTTACCCTTTGTAGAAACCACATGGAAGTCCCTGTATAGATCCCTCGTATGGAGCCCTTCTGGAAAACCCTTACAGATTGCTTATAGAAATCTTATAGATCCTCTATGTAGAGACCTTATAAAAACCATTATATAAAAAACTATAGATCCCTTACAGAGAGACTTTCTAGAAACCCATTATGGATCCCTCATATGGGGCCTTTATAGTAAGCCCGGTTACAAAGTATGTAGATGCGATGCGGTAAGCTATTCTTGATATAGTAGTTAAGATATATCGATTGTATTATGGTTCGTACAATACCTATGAAATTACCTTTAAGAATAGGGGGAGCGGTATTAAAACCAATGAAACCGGCAACGAGGATGATGACGATGAAGAAGATGATGAAGATGATGCAGATGATGAAGATGATGAAGATGATGATGATGGAGAGGGGGTGGGGTGTCCGCAGCCCTGTTGGACCCTAATGGGTTCGTGGTGGGGGTGGGGGTAGTGGGTGGGGTGGGGGAGGGATGTGAATGGGCAGGGGGTTTGTGCTGGCGTGGTGAGGGGTGGGTTTGGGGGAGTGGGTGATAAAGGTGATAAACCGATGATAAATGATAATAGGATGGTGATAACGATGATGGGGAGGAGTAGGTGGTGGGTGGTGGGTACTGGGTATTGGTGGCTGGCGGGTGCTGGGTAGTGGTGGGTGGTGGGTGGTGGGTGGTGGGTGATGGGTGGTGTGGTGGGTGGTGTGTGGTGGGTGGTGTGTGGTGGTTGGTGGGGAGGGTGTGGGTGGCGGGCGTGGTGGGTGAGGGGTGCCGGGTGGTGGATAATAGGTGGTGGGTGGTGGGTGGTGATGGGGTACGAGGCAAGGGGCTGAGA